GGCTCGCGCCAGGCGCCCGGCAGCCATTCCAACAGCAACATTTCTGTGGCCGACTTTGTGCTCCACAGGTCTGTGCTCCAGCAGCTGCAATCACAAACACTGCAAGTGCCTTTAGTTTCACCTCTTGCACTGGTATTGCTTGGGAGCTTTGAGCTATAGGAGAAATCCCAGGCAATGCTTTGAAATCCGTTAGAAGTGAGGTGGCTTTGGGGTTTTGCTCTTGGGCGGAGGCGCCTGGAGGCTGCCCTCCCTCATCTGCTCCTCATGAGCATCCCACGTCTGGGCCCTCATGGCCCTGCAGCCAAAAACGGGGACAAAACCGCTCGCACGTCTGAAACTCAACAGTGCTACTTCATATACCTCTTGCTTCATACATTGCCCATGCATGCCTGGCCTTATCAGAGGCTAGGCCAGTATCACACCCAGTTTCTATAGCCCCGGCCTCCTCGGTATCCAGGGAGATAAAATACACAAGACGGAAACAATTACCTCAGTCTTCAAGGATGGGGCCGACAACCTCACAAGAAGTCTTGGGAAGAGAAAAGTAGCTGTCTACTTCTGTCATCCCACAAATGCTGTGATTCACCTCCAAGCCTCCTCCGGCTGTGTGCCTGGAGTTATTTCTCATTAAAAAAAAAAACTAAACAATCCATTCTCAAATCTGAAAGCTGATATCCTTTGTGGTTAGAAAAAAGCTGACTTGTTCATCTGAGACAGTGATTTTTCACTGATGTTGTTGTGGAGGCTGTGCCACACTCCAAACAGTGTCACCTAAGTGCCTTGCAGGGCCTGGATCTTAATGCCCGGCCCAAGGCTAGCAGAGGGCACGTGGCAGACTGCCAAAGTCATGCCAAGATCTGGCCAGTGTCATAAGCACTAAAATTGTCTTAATCACTGAAATAATTTGCTCTTTCCTGCTGTGACTATTTTCTTGAGGAAAGCTAAGCAGAAGGGGCAGTCAGAGATGCTATTTTCATAGGAGTTCTCCATGGGAAAACGACATGGAGTGATCACCTCAATGGGCCGGGTGCGAAGTGCAAGTGAAGTCATTGAGAAAACATCCAGCGACGTCTCCGTCACTTCCTTCCTGCAGCGTTGCCATGCTCACGCCACAACAAAGCCTGCCGCACCTTCCATCGCGTGCGGCTTCACCATCACCCGTGCTGCCGTTCAGACAGATTTAGAGGGATAGTGCTAACCATAATGAAATAATACCCAACCTAGAGCTATTCCCTTTCCAAAGGTCAGCTGGACAATGAAGCCAGTCTTGGGACTTGGTGGGACGCCTGGGAGGCTGTGGACTGCCCTTTCCTCAGAGGCACTTAAAATATCCTGACCTCACATTCCAAACCAGGGAAAATGCTTGTACAGAAGGACGCAACATTGCACCGAGGATCAGCTGCCAAAAGGATTAGAGAAGTCAACAAAAATGCTAGTGGGGCTAAAAAGGGGTTAGGCAGTTTAGGCAGTGATCTTAAATTATTTGTCTTTTTAGTCATATAGCTCCACACCCGCTGAAAATTGATTTCTTTTTTCAAGATCTTTTGCAAAGACTTCAGTTATCTAACTGTAAAAATAAAGTGGAGACAAGAAGAGAGAATGGACATAATGCTGACAAAAATTTCATATAGGGTATTGAAGGCGAGGGAAAAACATTAAACCATGTCTAATTTCAAGAAAGGGGAAAAAATATTTGGGTAATTGCAATCTGATCTCCACAACCAAAGCTTTAGAGCATTTTTGCCTTGCACCTGTAGTAAGATTATTCAAATGTATAATACATATTTCTGCATTCATAGAGATGTGCTCAAGAACAATGAGAATCATCTTTGGCAGACCCTGGATCAGGCCAAAATGAACTACAGGACTCAGTGTGTCCTGCTTGCTTGGTAAGTGAATTAATAAGTGTTTGGCATAAGAATGTGGCCAAGAAAACCAAATGTGTTGCTTTCACTGGCAAATGAGTTAGAAAAACCTGAACAGTTCACACAGTACTGCCTTTGCCTTCGAAGACTCAGCTCTGCTCCCAACTTTCACCAGCTCTGCTGGAAAATGAGATCAGCATTGTAGTGCAAAAATTCCTAGCAGTTTGCCATGCCGGTGTAGTCAGCATGTTTTGCTGTGATGCTGCCCTGGTTATTTGCAGCAAGCCTGAGTGAAGCCTCTGGTAGCAGTCCAGAGGCACAGCCCAGATGAACGCAGCGCCGTGGCCCTGGCAGGAACCAGCTCGCTCCGCTGACATCGTGTTTAGAGCAGAACGACTCCGCCACAAACTGTTACTTGCTGTAGTCAGCTACTGAAAAAGGAAACGGGTGTGTATTTAAAAAAGCTTTTAAAACCTGGTGTTGGTCATGAAACTTTTCCTTGGCACACTGGACTAGGACGTTCAGGCACTGGTAAGCAGGAAGGGCAAAAGGGAGTTGCGGTTTGGAGACACGAGGCAGACATCTTCCCTCAGCCTGCCAATTCCCCGTGGGAGCACACGGCGGGACACAGGCATCTGGAAGAAAGTCCCATGCCCTGAACAACAGCAAGCACCATTCACCCAGTTCCCTCGGTCACGTAGGCTACGCAAAGGACACAGCTGGCTGCTTTTTCAACTCAAGAGAGAAAAGGAAAGGCAAAACTTCCAGTGAAGACCACAGCAACGGAACCTAACTCTTCCTTTTACACCAGGAAATACAACCTCGCCAGTATCAGCAACTTTTAGGTTTCAGTGGTTAATTTTCAGAGCTCAAAGCAAGACTAAGCCAGGGTCACTGCTTGCCGAGGCACAGGGTTTGTCACAGGAACCTCTCTGCAGTCAGATCCTCACCCAGTCCTGCTGCCGAAGTCATCTGAGCTGCTTGCACCAACAAACCTGGTTGTGCCACACTTAACCACTGAGGTCCGCTCACGTACTGCTGGGGTCCCTCTATTATGGACAAAACTAAAGCTAGGATTAAGACTAAGGGTAGGGTTTAGGAGAGGATGTGCTCCACAGCCAGAATTATTGCCAAATCCTGCAAGGTCTGCCCTTCCCGATGCTCTTTTTGCAGGCCTACGCTTGGGGTTTAGAAAGCAGGGCATGACCTATGACTAAAACTAATATTAAGATTAGTTCCTCAGCACCCATGTTTCTTACTGCATTGCAGGGCTGGCCTCAGCAGATTGGTTGCCTAGGTTTAGTTTTTGGACCACTGCAAATAGCTGTCTCTAGACTTGCCCAAAGGGAGACATTAAGAGATCTCTATAGCCAGTTCCTCCTGATTCTCCCAGTGTTGCTCCAAGGACCACTCAGGAGGATCAGGGCTGTGATAACGTGACACACACTCTCAAAACCAGTGCGGGGTTTCTCTTTGATATCTACAGGACAAATTTCCTGCTTCAGGGACAGGCAATAGGTCCTACGGTTGGACATGTCTGCCTTTACCTTGCAGTGCTACTAGCTTGCACTGCAGAAACAAACATGTCCCCTCCTCTATATGCAGAGAATTCAGGGCATTACAACACAGACTTCAGAAGAAACCCACTCCTGGATCTATTCAGAAATCATTTCTAAAATATTTAAGCCATTTGCTGAGCAGTGAAGCCACATGCTAAAGTTGCTGCACAGACAGATTTAACTGCCAACATCAGCTTCTACAAAGGCCCTGTTTCACTCAGAGACAAAGTGCTAACAGGGGACAGGGTTGTCTTTGCCTTTAGGACAGTACTAGATGAGGTTGTATTCAGAGGTTCAGCACTTCCCCGCTCCTTCAGCAAGGGATGGCTGCCAAGGCTCAAGGTTTCCAGGAGAACTTCTAGGCTTGGGCAGCAAACGACAAACCAGATCCCAGCTCCAGCCATGCCACAGGCTGGCATCACTGCACACCCCCAGCCCAGAAGATGGCTCAGTCTTGCTCTGTGCTTTGGCCACGCTACAAGACACCTGGAGAAGGCAGCGCTGTGCTCCAGTGCCAAGCAACACACAGCAGTGTGTCCAGCACGAGGGGCAGATCCCCAGCCAGGGCCTTGGCGAGGCTTTGCTGCACACATGTTGCCTCAGATTCAGGTCCTTTCCAGCCTAGACAGACATATTAGCCCTTAATTGGTTGCAAAGTCAATCTATTTTTATCTCTACTCATTTTGCTAGAAAGACTCACAGGGGAGATGTGGTAGGGCTAGAATCCAAGTCACTACTCCAGTAAAAATCCAGAGTAATACCATTGATTTTAGTGTATTTATTATAGATTTCTGCATCATAATCCTCTAAACTTAGCCCAGGTAATGCCCTCGTACGGGTCACAGTTATTACTACATTTACTTGAGTTATTACTACATTTACTAGACAGAGGCAGCAGACCAGTGAAGCAAGGTCACTAACAGGTTACAAAACTAATCTCCTAGACAGAGGCTATAAGATCTGCCAGACAGATAAAGGCTATAAAAGGCTGAAATGTTTCTCTTCCCCTTTCTCCTGGGCTAGACTGCTAGCAAGAACCTTAATATTCGTAAGAAAAAAAATCCCCAAGACAAAACAAGAAAAAAATCAAACAGAAAACACGGTAAGAGTAAATTGTTTTCCTCCTCTTTCAAGACCTTTCTGATCTACGTAAATCACCAGGCTTAGCAATGGTAGTGGCAATTTATTGTTTGCATTAAGCCACCCCTAGAGAGTGCCCTCTGCGCCCCTCCAGGTAGGGCTGTGTGTGCATGCACCACCAGGAGCCCTTCACCTCACATCCAAACCAGCTTACCCTCAGCAAGGCGCTCAGCTTAGCTCTCCACGGCAGCAGGCCTCCTCCTGACCACGAGAGCCTCTGAGCTCTCCAAAGGTTTCTGAGGGTCTCCACATTTCAGGAAGGTTTTGAGCATGCACTATTCCCAGGGCAACCAATGGAGTGATACATGTTCAGCTCCTTGGAGGATCAGGGCAGAAACAGCTCCAGAGCAGGAACAAGTGGGGAACCTGGGCATGCAGATACACTGTTACTCACCTGGGGCTGAGAGGCCAGATTCATCTTGTAAGGATGCGTCTTCCCCTCCTCAGTTACAAGTGGTGACCAGACTTTCGACTCTGTTCTGCAATACATGAATTTTTAACAGTTTAATACTCTACTTCATCAGAGGACATTGTTATTATCATTAACAGACAGTTCATTAATTAGACATCATCATTAATTAGACAGTTCATTGGTTAAAAGCTCAGCCTTTGGTATCCATATTCAGAGGGAATCTGGCCTCATTTTAGGCATGGAACTTAGATGTCTCAGTCATGCTGAAGGAGGTCCTTGAAGAAAGACAGGATCTTAGCAGTGATCCTCCTGGATTGCCTTTGACTGATTGCCTGTTGGCTGCACCACAACCATGGGCTCTAGTTCAGGTTATTCAACAACAGAAGCTGCAAATACCCCTCTAGATACACATCTGCTAACTTAGGCAGGACAGCTCATATTACGACGTGTTTCAGCTTCTCTGGGTAGCAGGGAAGTGGAAGAACTCTGCACTGAGCATACAGAAAACATGTCCTTCTTTAAGTTGGGCTGCCTTGTACAAGCTGGAAATATATTTTTTTTTATTTTTAGCACATAGAATCTTGTTATTATTTATACAGTGGTGTCTGTGCTGAACAAACACAGACTTTTGGGCGTCACGAAAAGACAGGTCCAAGCCTGTAATGAGACCAAGAGCAGAGACAATAAATGTCCAAGGAGATACATGCCTGCATAACCATTGCCAGTCTGTGCTCTGACCCAATTACTCACAACAGCCTGAAAGATCTTTCTTTGACACAAAAGTCAAGCTCTGTAAGTGCAAATAACTGCTTTTGCATCACCCCTCTGGAGTTTTGCTATGACCCCAAAGAACAACAGACAAATGATGAGAAAGCAGCAGAGCACTTAGATCAGGTCGAAATACTTTGTGGGAAACACATGCTAACTAAGTTTCTCAGGGTTAGAGTAGGTAGCCTTTAGTAGTGTCTCTTCTGGGGCTACAAGCGCTGCTTGCCACAAAGGTCCTCATAGGAGAGGAGTGACAGCAGTGCTGCTGAATGGAAACCATTGTGCATTGTTAGGGATTGCATAATGCGGCACCTAGCTAGCTGATAAACCCTTCGCATGAGTTTTGAAAACTATATCCTGTTTTGACAGGAACTCTTTGTAGAATTTGCAATTGCAGCTAGATGGACTTCTTAGCTATCTGTGGGTCCAGGGCCAGCTGTGGCTGGAGGACCTGGTTAGCAGAGCATGCAGGCTTCCACTTGGAATTAACTGGATGACACGCAAGAGACTTTAAACAAAAAAGGCACATAAAACTGAAAAGGATGGGGAGATGGGGACTGCAGCTAAATTCCAGCTGGTCTCAATAATTGCTCTAAAAACTCTCCAGTGGCCTTTAAAAAAATAAATCCCCAAACTTGACTGAAATGCATACATACATGTTAGACATTTTAATATTTTAAAATAGTATTTCAAAATTTACATCTAGATGGTAGCTCACTGGAAGGAAGCAGAATTTTTATAGGGCATTTATTTACCTGCGATTGCATCTATTATACTCTGTACTTTACCCAATAAAACCTCTGCCAGAAGTCTGGTATGCTGTACCTCCTGCCATGGGGAAGTACAAAGACACGGGTCCTGCCAGATATGGTCCAAATCAAGCAGCTGCAAAAGCCTTTTGTCCCTTTTGTCCAGACTGTCCCTTCCTGCGAGCCCAGCTGCAGCGCTAACACCCAACCCAACAACCTGGCTTACCTGCACCCAGGTGCCCGGCAAGCTGGGGCCCTTGGGGACTAACACATACGAATGCAACGGCTGCACCACCACCTATTTCTTGCATACAGCCTCCTAAGGACAATTCTAGCTGATTTCAAGCTGTTTCTTTTGCATTTTCTCATATATTTCCACCTTATTCAACACGCAAATTTAAGCGCAGAGCAAGGCAATGAATATGGAGCAAAAGCCTTCTTGCTAAGGCTTGGGGCACTCACACTCACTCCCCTGGCCCTCGGCGTGCAGCACGTTAGTCTCCAGAGGAGCTCTGGCCAACTACTGCAGCCAGTGGATTTTTGACCAGATTTTTGTCTCCTTTTAATAGGAATGCAAAAATACAAGTTTGTTTCCAAGTCCACTGCCATTCTGATTTGTCACTGGATATAAATGGAAGCAGCAAGGTCACCGCAGGCTTTATTTTCTATCCAAGTCATAAGTTATCCAAACAGAAAGGTTAAATATCGCACACCCTGTAAGGCCGGGAGGATAAAGTCCCCTTTGTCACCACAGCAGCTGTGGCAGAGCCCGGCGGTCGCCTCCACCGTGGGCCGTTTAAGGCCCCAGACACGGTGCAAAGAGGGCAGGGAGCATGGAGAGGGAAGCACCTTCCTGGGTGCATCCCATGACAGCAGGAGATGGTCTGCGCTCCCCACTGCTGGAAAACCATTTACTGCTTCCTCCAGGCAGAAACCAAGGCCTGAGATGAGAAGGAATTTTCTCTGACGCTGGAATACATGCGTAGAAGCAGCTAGCTTGGACTGCAAGGAACTGGTAGGAAGGAGAGGAGGGAATTGCATGCAAGTCAACACAAGAATTTGGAGCAGTATTTATAAAACAACATTTTTCAAGAAGCCTGGCTTGAACATGGCGTAACATAAACACCACATGTGCCTCGACTTTGCTATTGACGTTCTGCATGCAGCGCCAGGCCATGGCTTCAAGAGAGAACTCAGAGCTGCATAAGCAGGTCCTAATTCTGTGCCCCAGGAAGTGCATAAATAAGTGCAGCGAGAAGGAGAGGGGCACATTTACCTTCCCGCTTCACACAGGGACTGGACACAACTACGAGATACCAAAGAAGCAACTAAAACTAAATGTGGAAAAGTTCCTTGCACAACACAAGCTTTGATATCCATCAAGCATTTTTTTCGCACTGATAGCTGAGGAATGAGGGAAGACCTAAGGAATGTCTCTCATCCCAGAGTTTCAGACATTTTAACAATGGTTGGTGACTACCAAAAGAGCTTTCAGGCTAGGGTGGAAGAGGCACCTGTTTAACAGGCTTTTCAACTACAGCAGCTGCAAAGTACCTACCCCGGACTCACACAGAGCAGCCACTTCTGGCAAGGCTGTGCTACCAGGTAGGCTCCCCCCTGCAAGCAAACCCTGCCTAAGAGCTGTGCTTGGGCTGCATGCAGCCCCTCATGGGGTCTACCAGCAGCACTTCAGGGCTTGCTGGGGACAAGAGTACTCCAAGGTATTTCTCTACATAGAGACCTCTGCTCCTTGCATTTCAGGTCTCCCCTCATACAGCCACTGTAGACAAAAGGCCTGGATGTAACCCTGACTGTGCAAAATGAGCAACGAAAGTGCAGCAGGGGCGGTTTCATTGCAGAGCTGTGAGGTTTTAATACACATGACAGCTCAGACTTGCACTGCTCTTCCACCAGCCAACTCCAGAGTAAACTACTTTCGCCACACAGAAAAGAAGCTGTAAAAGTATGGCAAGACGCAGGCTTTATATCAGAATAGGTTTGAATACACTAAGGCATTAGTAAAAGCATTTACTAACTGTGTTAGTGAAACTTCTGGCATGCACCCAGGAGGGCTGGTGGCACCAGGCCATCCTGGAGAGCTCGTGGGCAGCCACAAAGGGTCTTGCCCATATATAGATACACACAGAGCATCAGGCTTTTCCCAAGGACAGAAGAATTATTAGTAAGATGACAGAGCTGGAAAATTTTCGCTGGCAGGGAAGCAAAAAACAATCCTAAGTGAGTCAACGGACTCCACGGATTTCCTAGAACACAAATTGAAGCCTTTGACTTTGCACAGCTTGTCTGCACGACTGAAAATCAGTAGCGCATAGCACACGGACAGGGAGCCCCTGTGCAGCCGAACCTGTCGAATAAAACACAGAGGACATTTCCCCCTCTGTCTCCTTTTCATCTCCCTGGGCCTGACAACGCAGTTAACGTATGCTTTTAGCAGGTCTGACTTCCCTGATCCTGGCAGTTTTTAAAGAACAAATGCATAGCTTCACTCACTGGCACCACTTTCAACAGAGTGACAGACAAAAAAGGTGTAGTAATATATTTTATGCCGGCAGCCAAACTGGGGAAGAGCAGCTTGAAACCGAAGAGGAGGACAGTGGGAGCGGAACAAGAGATGACATGTTTGCAATCCCTTTGCACAAATATTCCTCTCATCATCCCACCCCCAGCCTGCCTCCGGTCCCGGCAGGAAGGGCAGGATCACCGCAGGAACGCTGGTTTTTCAGTAACAGAACGCACACCATGTACCTTTGAGGTGCCCACAGCTGCATAGGAGCCCAACTCCATTACCCACTTGGTGAGTGCAGCCCTACAGGCAAAGCCATTCATTTTAGAACTGACATTCACCCACACTGCTAATAGAGCGAGTGTCTGTGCGTGTTAATCTGTTCTACCCCGCAGCCCTGGCTACCCCACGTTGTGCGCACCAAACTGGTCACGGGCATCACCCGTGGTACTGGCGATGCCCAGGCCCTTTGTTGAGCAGCTCAATTTTGTGGTAGGAGAGTTTGTTCCCCCTGAGCCTTTCCGTTTCTGAGCGTTCCCTTGTCAAAGAGAGTTTCCTTCCCAAAGCACACGATGTTTCCAAAGCAAGTTGATAGCTTTCTCCAGGCTGCGGGGCATGTCTTGCTGGTTTCCCCCTCTTACAGGAAAATCAGAGGTCCCCTTGGACCGGATGCAGCCTGGGGGAAGATATTTCTTGACCCCAGCATTTCAGTACTAAGACATACACACCCTAGTTAAAAAAGGAAAAGGACTTTTCTCAAAGACTCGACATCCAAAGCTTCCTTTTTCCAATGAATGGGAGAGGCTGAAAAACGCTGCCTGTGACATTTCCCTGTTTGGCAATATAAATTCTATTACCTTATCATCATGTGCTTTCGAGTCTGCTTGTGCAGGCAGCCAGCTTTTTTTTTTTTTTTTTTAAAGTACACTAAGCAAAATCAAGGTGCAGAGCTTGATCATATACCAGTCGAGGCAATATTGGGACCTTGGCGTTGATTTCCTGGGAGCAGCATTTATAAAGCACACCCCAGGATGAAACAAAGAGCAAAGTGAGTGAGCAAACAGGCTGGGAAAGGAGTGGCGCTTCGCTAGACAGGCTGAGGCCAGCAGGGTTTTTTTTCGTCAACTTTGCAGAACAACCGTTCTTGACACAGAAGGCAGACCCTTAGCTCCGCTCACACGGCCAACAGCAAAGCAGCTGGCAATGCCACTTAGAAAAGCATATTCAGAGCAAACAACTCAGGGCTGGTGTTAACTCCTAGGAAATTCACAGATTTCTACCAGCGATAAATTTGCCTCTTTGGTGAAAACGCAGACCGGGCGTGTTCTCTTCTGCTAGTAATTCGATCCATTTTTAACAGTGTCATGCATTAGACTAAATTTCCTGCCTACAATCTGATCTGAAATATTTTTGGACTGTTACCATCATTAAGGAAAATACCGAAACAGGAAACATGGGAATGCTGTTGATATTCACAATCAAGTAGGCAGTGCAAACAGCATTTCCTTTACCAGAAATGTTAAAGTCCTTCCAATTCTCTACATTTATACTTCTCTTAAATAGACATAAGTACAGCCAAAGATAAGGAAAACTTAACCACCCAGCTAACATTAAGAGAGAGGAGAGTTGCATGATGCTGAACACATACATACAAGATTTGTGTGAGTCTGGGAAAAAGCACAAGAGCACAGAGTGATACTTCCGTAAAGCAGTCTCCCAGCCTCCAGAAATTCACACCTCAGAGCTTTTTACAGCAAAGATACTGCCTTGCTTTTTAATATCCTTTATAGATTATTTTCTTCCTGGAATTCTTCCAGTCTGCCTTTGAACCCATGCATACTTTTACATGGTCACCAATATGGACACTATATATATACACACACACACACACACATATATATATATAATGGTGGTAACTACTATTAGAGGAATAGAAATCCTCGATGTAGGTTTAGACACATGGTGGTAAAATGCCACCTAGCATGACCCTACAGTCACCCAAAATGCAGGTTTGAGAACATTTTGTAGGCTATCATAAAAGATATGTGGAGCTCCATGAATAATCATTTAAAATTAATCAGAGAAGAAATTAAAATCCCAAAGGATTTATGCTCTCACAGGGTGTCTCTGTGATACTAAGCAGAAAATAAGAACTGAAAGATTTGTCCGGAAAAATTTGGAGTTGCTATGCACACCTGTAGCCGGCAGAAGGGCTACATGAAAGGACCAGAAACCCTTGCCAGGAAGGCTGATCCCCTGGTGATCTAAGACTGCAGAGCATGGAGGCTGAACCCCAGAGTTGATGGTGTTGAAGCACACCTGGAATACCTTCCCCTTCATACTCAGCCAACTACCTATAGAGCCATGCAAAGGATGGAGAAAATCCCATCTCTGGCCTGGTTATATTTGTCAGCCTTGCTGACTTGTGGCTGATTGTATAGTTTTTGGCCCTTCTCCTATTTTGGAGGTAAAATTCTGCTTGTGGAAGTCTTGATTGCTTATTTGGAGATTTGACAGCTGCCGGAGATGTCTGCACTGGGAGCATGATAGCACAGGGCTCTGCTTTAATATCTGAATGCTCAACATACAAAGCCCCCTAGAATCATTTACAGTGGACTTAACGAGGAGGAATAGGTAATAATATCAAATCCTAAGATAGATGAGTAGTTCGATGGCCGCTTTTTGGTTCCTTGCAGTCTCGCTGCTCTCCTCAGCCGTGTTGCCAGTGGCACTCACTGATCAGCAGAACAGCAGAAGTGTCCACCACATATGTCCTGCCACCTCATTTAAACACAGCCTGGAAAGGGGTGGACTGTTTTAACTCAAAGCCACTGCACAGTTTTACATGACTGCACATCCAGACAGAACTGTCCTGGGCTGTTTCCTACTCACAGATAATTAAGCGCACATGGGGTAGCTATAAAGTTAACAACTTTGTAATTAACATTACCAAACACATTTCACAGACTCAACGATCTGTAAGAGCGAGCTTGCCCAGGGCCCAGAGAAACAGCCCTTCCCTCCCCTCCTCTCTCCCTACCAGGATCACGTGGCAGGAGGCTGCTAAGTCAGGACGCCCAGCATTTCAGAGAGGGGAACAAGATGTCTTGGCAGGAGCTGCCAAATTCAAAGTCACTTGGAGAAAGCTGGGGCTATTGTGCTGCTGCAGTGCTTGCCACCCATCCATGCAGCCTTCCCCATGCTATCGTGCTTATCACCCTTCCATACAGTCTTCCCTGTGCCTCTTTGCTTTATGAACTACCTGACCGAAATCTCATTTTTTTTTTGGCCAAGAGCACTCCTCGCTTGACTTCTCGCTTGACTGGGAAATGCCTGCTGACCTCCTGGCATCATCCGCGCTATAAAAAAAGATTTCCACTCATCCCAGAACAGCCTAAACACAGAACTGTGCCTCATTCAAGGCATGTTGTTGCATCCCTTCCCAAATCACTACACCTGCCGTACAAGCTATCACTCCATGGAGGAAGGCGGCCAGCTGAAAAGCTCATGGTAGAACGACGAGACGTGCCACGGTGTCATCTAGCAGCTGACTTCCAGAAGCGCTGGGTACCCACGGCTGCAATTCAGACCAACAAGAAGCAACAAGAAGCCCCCTGAAAAATGAGGCTCCAGCAATAGGTCAACGAAAAGGAGACCCTCGCCATTCCAGATGCTGTTGCATCTCTGTGCAGATACAACCCCAAATTGAGACATAGGTGTAAAAGGGAATGAAACTGTCCATTGATCCTCACTCCAAGATGGTAGAAAGGCTGAGATTACCCCTTGCCCCCCCTTGGTGATCAAGACAGTGGCCAAGACAACCCTTTTGAGTCCATGCATGGCAAGAACCAGTCAATTAGTGTCTGGGCAACATACAACCACACTGTTTAACTGATAAATTACTGCAATAGGAAGAAGTATTGCCTTTAATCATACCTCCTTTGCTATTAGTGACATTTTCATGAGACCTGCCTTGAATTTCCTGCTGTCAGGAACCACAGAACAGGCTAACACATTGTGTCACAAATTATCAGCCAGTTTCTCACTGGGAAAGTTGTTTTCATAAGGTCAAAGTGCAGTAAACACAAGCACTATTAAAGGGTGAACTGAGGTTCTGTATTTCAATCCAACAACTTGGCCAAACACAGCAGCAAGATGTCAGATTAAAGAAGGCAGGAGGAAGGTCTGCTGTCAAACTGGAACACAGCTGCCACCCGCTCAGTGTCCCCCCTCTCGCACCTGCTGACCGTCAGGGTCAGCTCGTCCGTGCAGCCCTTGATTTTGTTCTGCGCCTCGAGGTGCGTCATGTTGTCCGTGTTCACCCCATCGATGGCGATGATCTGGTCTCCTATGCACAAGTTGGCTGTTGCAGCTTTGCTGCCCGGAGTCACCTACGAGAGAACAAAAAGAGTGACTGGGCTTTCCAGGGAGCAGCTTTCCTACCAACACCGCAGAGACGGCAGGAGCCCTCAGGGCTTCTCTTGCTGCTGGAAACGAGGAGGTGAAAATTGATGAAAACAGATTCTTAAAAGAAATATATATGGCCTATGGGAGTTTGGATCTTAGCGCTTCCTGAGTATTAAAGTTATGGGCAGGATTATAATTTTGTCATCCCTAGATAGAAATTAATTTGGGGTAGGATGTTGCTGAGCGAGTTAAAGGGACCAAAAAAAAAAAAAAAAGACTTTTCTTTCAAGTAGATTGACATTGTGCTAACAAAGAACAAGCCAGTACACAAGAAAGAGAGAGCATACAGACAGCAACTCTGCTTTTCACTGGAAACAAACTTCCAAAACAGGAAGTGCTCAGGACAGGCAGAAAGTCTGATGCTTTAAGAATAGAGATGCCAGAAAAAGAGCGAGACTCAGAGTCACTCCAGTATGGTCAACAGAAATCACAGCTTCTTTTGCATCACAGTCTTAATTTCTTTGCTGTCAGGATGAAAGCTTAGGCTCATGACTTTGGTTTGCTTCTTTAGTTTTAATAATTTTTAGCTCTCACTGTTTTCAATGGGATCAAATCCCAAAGCAGTGCTTGATCTATCAAGCATAAGGCAAAAAGGCATCAGAAACCTCACCTTTAAACTGAAATCTGACAGTATTTTCTGAAAAAGTGACAGCATCATCCCCAGCACCTTAGTCTGAGCACAGCTCACCTTGATACACTTTGCCATCATCCATCTCTATGTACCACACTTCGCTTCCCGCATTTACTGCTGCACTCCTGAAGAGCTGCTGTGCTCTGTCTGGGAAATAGCTGTTGGGAAAGGTCCTGGGGCAACCTCACTCGGATCCCCGACAGACACTGTGTAGGAATGCCACTGGTGTAACACCCCCGGAGAAATAGGAAGGTCATAGCTAACGTTTTCAAGCTGCCTAACAAACAGCTTAATCATTTTTCACTACTACTTCCACTAAAGACATGTCCTTTCAAGAGCCAAGAACTCTCTAACCCAGAATTAATACCTGGGCTGTGGGTGAAGTGTGCTATAATTGCTTGCAGCTTTGCAAACACTATGTAAGGTTTTGGGCAGCTTTAATGACTGCAGGAGAAGCATCCTGAATGCAGAGTGCTTTAATCACTTATTTAATAGGCAGAGGAAATAAGAAGGATGGCCCGCTCCAACACACGAGTACAGATTAGGACATGCCTTGGGCTGGGACGCATCTCAGCTACGAGCCCATCACAACCAGCATTCACCCCACGCGGTCACGCTGGGCTTCGGTGTGCTGCACGGGCTAGAAAGCAGCCAAGCAGACCCAGCAGAGCTGTCAGACATAAGTAAACATTCTTTGTAGGATTTAGACAGGGCTCCTATTATGGGATTACATGGTAAATCATTTCCCCATGGTCTATACCCACCTCCTAGAGGTGTGATACATTTGCTGCAATTGCAAAATTGAAAGAATTGAGAATTACAAAAATGAGACTTCAGCACTCCTTCACAGCTGCAGTGGGACATTACCCCAGAGGGAGAGAAGATTACAAGATGCTTTCCCCCCTTTCCATCTTCATGTCAGAGAGGAGACTGGAGTATATCAGAGATGCCCAGCTTGCCCAAGGTGCTCAGCATTAACCCAGACCAAACGGATTGGCAGAATAGTGTCCCCCACCTACCTGCTTGCTGTTTTATAGCTGCAAGCAGACTGCAAGCTGCGAGAGGAGGTGCTAATAAAAAGGCCAGGCAAGGCACCATACAGATACAGAAAATGTGCTTTCCGTGTGAAGCTCACAGCGTGCAGCCCACTGGAGAAGGGCGCCTTGCTCACCTCCGTGCGGAGCCCTGGGCTCGGCACACTACTGCTATCGTTCATTTTCAGCCAGGTCAAGAAACACGGTGGAGTGACACCACCGTGGGAGCTCTGCCAGAGGCTGGGCCTGGTGGGTTGTATTTAAAGACTGATAACATACAACATTTGTCTGGCTATTAGAAATGATGCTGTAGCGCAAGGAGCAGCTGAGCATGAGCAGCCAGCCAGCGCCGCTGAAGTACCGAAGCCTCCTTAAGAAATCCCAAGACCCACAGAGATGAGGCACAGATGTCTGCAGGAGACACCTCCGCACTTTGTGGTGTTACATTCCCCTTCTGCCTCCACTTCAGAGGCACCTAAAACGTGAATGTGGCCCTTGCTCAGAGAAGAGTCATCCATAGCACGAGGGTAACTTGCAAACCTCTTGTCGAAGGGGAAACCACAAGGCTGCACAGGCTTGAAGGAGATAAGCAACCTTGCCAAAAGGAAACATGCTTTAAAACCTGGCTCTCGTAATTCCTGAAATAACTTGCCCTGAAACATAACCTTCCGTAAACTGTTTGCCTGCAAAATCCAGCTTGTACCATCCGCCAGGACTGCCTATAGGAAACGTGTCCGCACACGAGTGCGTTACTGCGGGGCACCCACCCCATCCTTGCAGGAGCATTAGCAGTAGCTAATCACGCCTCCCTCCACGGTCCCGCACACCCTGTGGGCTCCTCTCCCTTGTTCAGCGCTGCTCTGAGGTTTGCTCACCTACCACCGAGTCTGTGAGGCAAAAGCGTCCCTGATATTTGAGAGGAGGGCCGTGCTGCCACAGGGAGGGTTTGTTTCTGCATTCACCACATCCCTCGCTTGCCCCCGAGGCGCAGCTGGGGTGGCGGTGGCACGAGCAATGGGAGCAGAGGCCGTTTCCTCTGGAAACAAGCCGTGTCCTACCTTGGCACGTGTGCTCCACAGGGCGCAGCACTTTCCCACGAGGTCATTTCACCATTTAAAAGGCAGTGTGGGGACAGGCAGAGCAGAAGGGCCTGCTGCGGTACCTGACACAGCGCCCAGAGCACAGCCTCCTCGCTGCGGTTACCAGGGCCTGCCTGCAGCAACACTAGCGACCCGCGCTGCGGCCGGCTGGGCTACCTGGCCTGGGTGAAACCCTGTGGGCGACGCTGTCTTACCTTGAGCAGTTTCCAAAAATGAGCGCCACTGTGAGGTGAGCGCCAAGCGCCTGGCGTGCCGGGGGCGCCCCGCAGCGCCTGCGGGGAGGTTTTGGCAGCCTGCGCGCCCTGGCCAGCCATCAGGGCGTGCGAGAAGCCCCACCTGCACTCAAGCCTCAAATATCCCCAGAAACTTCTGCCACTTGTTCAGCCACCGGCACATGAAGCCTGGGCTGCCACAGAAATAACCTAGACGCCTGTAACCAGTCACTTCAGATACCAGGATACCAGCTCAGAAGGACTACATGCCAGCTCAGACACTTGCCAGCACACAGAAGAAGCAAATAATCCCCATAATCTATGGGCTTCATCCTGCACTCTTTACTCAGGAAATCCCAATGAAAGAGGTAACATTTTGGCTAAGTACTAATTGTAGGCTTGGATGTGCATTGTAAAGCCACCCTGTAGATTCAGGGATGGCATGGATAGTAGAAAAGCGTGCATGATTTTCTTATGCAGCAAAGCCAAATCTTGTCTACACATTCTTGCATACACATATATATAAGTTCTGCAGTCAAGAGACATGGGATAGTCCAAATTCAATGTCACTGCTGGCCTACTCCCTGCTGCTTCCGAGGCTGAGACACCAAGCTGCCCCTTCCTCCAACCACGAGACATCTCCGACATGCAACTTAATCCTGCCCACCCACATGTGCCGCCGGCTTGCGGTGAGTAATGCTAGAGCATCACGCCGAGCAGCTACCGCTTCCCCCAGCCAAGGCTGGGTCAGCAGAGACCAGGGGTGCAAGAAAAGGCAGGCAGGCGCCTTGCCCACCCTGCTGCTCACCCCTTCCCTCCACGCTGCTCCGGAGGGGAGGGCTCCGGAGGCACCGCCACCTCCGGCAGCCCCACTTGCACACACCTGTCTTCCCTTCAGCTCCGCTTGGTTGTGACCTGCGGATGAGGGTCGGCAGCACAGAAAAGGGAAGGTGCCAGGCAGAGCACAGAGAGGACTGGCCCCATCTCAGTTTATTCCACAGGAACTGCACACTTGGGATGCTCTGGGTTGCAACACAGACCTCATAAAACCCACGAGGGAAAAGGCACCGATGAGATGTTTGCCCAGGTGGATGCACAGTCGCTGGTTTAGGAGTTATGCAGCCTCAGAGCTCGTGAACCACACACACAAAAAAAACATAAAGCAAGCTGCTCATAGCTGAGCCTTTCCCCATAGTTTATTTCATCCTCTAAATAGAACATGTCCAGTAATCTGCAACTATGTAAGATACTGTGTCACTGTCCAGAACAACATCAACTGTTTATGCAGTTAAGGCATCCTTAATTTCCGTGTTTATACTACAGAAAAATCCATTTGCTATAGTTTTTCTGATGCAGTATCCTTCAAGCCTGATGTGCCCCAGAAGGACAGTCCTCTCCAGCAAACACCCTTGGTCAGACAGAACATCTGCTTCCTCGCTCATCCCACTAAGCAGCACCATCCCTGTTACAACTGCGTCCTGCAGCCTCTATCTTGCACCGTGTTTCTCAACTGCATCTTTGTCAGGCTGCTTCCTAACCCGGGCCAGATCGAGACCAGAGGGAGGCAGGTCAGCCAAAACCAAAGTCAACCAAAACTCCTTCCACCACAGGATACAGCCCCTGGTCTGGTTTTGGACCATTAAGCCGAGTTTTAGGACTTAATCAAGTTTTTCAGTTTAAAGAAGTGGCTCAGAGGACTTATTTATTTTTTCAAGGAGGATATATCTGATTATCTTCCAATTCCCTTCCTGTTTTTAATGCTATACTTCTAAAATAGCATGAATAGATAAGGCATCAGACTAAACATAGAGAGGTTGAATATGTTCAAAGTCAGCAAGAGGCATAACAGGCTCAGATTTTTAATATATTTGTGGCAGTAGACTGTGTTTAGGCTACTTTTTTCAGTGGGGAAATGCCCAGTTTCATACCACAAATGTAGATATTGGCTTTGGCCTGTTTTGCAGGTTTTGATGCACATCCCTTCTAAACGAGTGTGGAGTTTCGCTGACCTAGCAAAATGTAAAGTCAGATTCCCCTCGAATACGTTTTGCTCATTCTTGCTCCAGATGAACACACTCTGAGCACAAAACACCCCAAACAGGTCGAGAACAGGGTTCTTTGCTCAGTTCTGCACATATGTTCAGCCAGAGCCCCAAATCTGGGCCAGAATAACATGGAAGCAACCAGGAAATAGCTCATGTTCAGCTAGTACCTGAGGGATGAAAGGGGATGGGGTCTGTTAGCGGCACAGCTTTCCAGCCAGCTCTACTTTGCCAACATGTCTCCTCATGCGCTAGGCTGCTTGCTCCTCCACCAGATCCACTAATCTCGCAGGAATTTAACTGGAAACTGCCCTGACCACAGGCAAGCCACAGAGATACTATTATCCTCTGGCATGTCAGCCCACAGCTTGGAAAGCACTGGGAAAGGCGGGAGCCCATGAGTTCATTGCACTCTATCATCCGAGGAGGGGTATAGACCATGGTCTTTCCTTATTCCCACAAGGAAATTAAGCAGGTTTTGATCTAGATTTCATCTCACAGAGCAATACAATGTTCCCTCCGAACAAAGGCTTTGATTAAATGTCCACTGCTACCCTACAGTTGTAAAAAGAAACATAAAGGCAGAAACATCTGCAAAGCATCCCTTTGAAAAAGAACGGGAAATTCCACAAGAACGTCTCCCACGAAGCACTTGTGAAATCCCCGCACCCGGCTCGCGCTTGGGAGACCGATCCAACAAGCTCCAGAAGCCAGAGGCGTTTGCATGGACAAGGCACTCATGACATATCTCAGCCTGAAGCAGTTTTGCACATCCAGTGGAAAGGGGGCAGGGAGGAAATAAGAGATAACAGCAGCTGTGGAGACACCATAATCTTTCATCCGCCTCTTGTTAGGATATGACAGTCCGTTAGTGGCATTTGGTGGCTGCTAGCGCCAGTCCCTGTGCTCAAGCTCCCTGCCCTCCTCAGCCCTGGCACTCCTGAATGTCACACACCCCGTCAGGCCCTTGCAACCCCCAGACCCACGGCCTGGGCCGGACCATGAGTGCGCAGGTCACAAGCACAGTAAGAGCAGAGCTACAGGCCATAAAACCACCGCATGAGAAGAATCAGACTCTATAAAATGGGGAAAAAGCAGACTAGCTCTTCTTTACATAGGAAACAGGGGAGGTC